TTGAACATGTCCCGCATCGACATTACAAAAATTGTTCGATCCCGGGATCAAAAATCGATCCCGGGATTAAATCCCGATCCCGGGATTAAAAAAACGTCGGCATTTTGCAAACCCTAGCTGTGACACAGTAAAATCAACAATAAGTGACGAATTTATTCTATTCACACAAATCTCAAATTCACACAAAGGTCAATCGAACAGCATCTAACACCAAGCATAACGGTTCCAATTTAATTTCGACGAGATATCCGATCACTGCAGTTAAATCCAATCCATCCAGAGCTTTTTCCCTCTTGATGGCAGGTATTGGAATCTGAAATCGAAGTTTTTGTTGGAATGGTTTGAACTGAATTCCAAGAATCGTGAAATTCGCAATCGTGTGTGTAAAATAAATTCTGTTAGAACCACTGATCATAATTTCTGCGTTGATAGTCAAATGAGATCTAGATCTTTTTTCTTATAAACAAACATTATTAGGGAGTCTGGAGTTTTTTGGAAGAAGGTAGCGGGGAATAAGACTCTTCTCTCAACGCGAATGTATTCAGTGAGAACTATTCGCTTCTTTGAAAGCAATCCTAGTTGACATAATGGTCAGTCATAATTCGATAATTTCACAAGTGAATATGTGTGACCAGGTGAAATATATATGCTAAAATAATTCACATATCGGCGTTGTGTAATCAACATCATTGAAACTGTTGAATTGAACAAAATGAAATTGATGAGGGATTCGCACGGATTCAGTTCGCTTCCGACATCGTTTAACGGTAATCAGAAGTGATCAGAATCTTTGATTGTCCCTTCATGCAAAAATCTTGTAGTTTCGCACTCTCTTCACCATGTTCGGAGAATTGTTCTGATGAAACTCTGACAGTAAACTATCAGTGCAAGATGAGAATGAGGAATGCTGCATATCGTAAGAAATTTCCAACTATTTCGCTCAGTTGCTGCTAAAGAATTGTTGAGTTATCCATCTTGAAGCACGCAAAAAAATTTTGTGAACAAATGTGAAAAATTACGACTGTAACCTTTTGCCTCGTGCAGGTTGAAACTGAAACGGTCTAAGACGTCCTTCTCCGTCCACCGAATTACCCACATTTCGTTTTGCAGTCCACATAGCAATCAAATCATCGTAAAACTGATCGCTTTGTTTCATTCCATTCTGTCGTTAGCATAAGTTAACGAGTAGAAAAAATTACAGCCTAATCAGCGATCCAATCGATTGTGTTCAATTATTCGAAATTTTTTCGTTAAACTAGCAGCGGAATGCTTATTTATATCTCTATTTGCAAAAAAATTAAAATAAAGCTCTAAAATGATGCGAAACATTTCATTAACGACACAACAATATGAAAATTTAGATGAATCCTACCGGTGCATCGCCTAAAAGGTACTGTTTGTACAGTGAACTTCTTTGATAAGAAGCAGCTGAAACGATAATCGAAAAGAGCGTATACAAGGCCAGAATGTGTGTCATATGGGCC